TTCATTTCTAAAAGCTAATTCTTGATAAATTCCCTTGCATAAAATATATAATTCCCTTATATAAAATTAGATTACGGGTCCGTTTAGTTAGAATTTATTATAAATATTATTTTTTATTTATAACTTGATAGTTAAAATTCAAATATACTAGTAAAACTAACAAAACCTAGAAAAATTCAAGAAATCAAGTTACTACTAACTACTTCGATAGACAAATTAATTCATATAGGAATTTATATAACTTTATAACTAGAACTCCAAAAAAGTAATCAAAAATATTAAGCTTAAATTTTTTTTTGTGTATATATATATAGTGAAGTTTAATATCAAGTCTAATTTAGTTACGTCAATGATAATTAAACGAAAATCAAATATGGATATAATAAAGACATTGACGCTTGTTATTTTCTCGTAGCCGCTGATAGTACACCGAAACATATTTGCTCTAAATTTCATCATCATTCAGATTAAAAATTTTGCGAAGGTCTATCGTACATCATATGATCACAATTCATACAGTAAAATAGCAGAATCATGACTTATCTTTATAAGTATTTCGCACATCAAAATTAATGAGCTCATTTCGGCAAGATATAAAACACATTCACAAACAAATATAAATTTATATAATAAATTTATCTTCTGTATTTGTTTTCATTGAATATAATGATATTTAGAAGCTATAAATATATCCCAATTTATTTCAAAATGGAAATATCATAATTGACATAGACAAGAAAGACAGAAGTCTATTAAAGACATTCAATTGTAATACGCTTCATTGAATACATTGAAGAATAGCATTCAATTTACTGCACCTGAATAATCAGGTGGGATATCAGATTGCATTAATGAAATAACAAGCTTTATATTTTATAAAAAGAAAATAATTATGAGAATTATTTTTGAAAAGATAATTATTGAAAGCAAGCACCTAGCATTATGTTTGACTCATTTATATCATTGACGGAATGTGTAAATAAAATGATAGTTCCCATTTTATGATCAAAACTAAATTTTATGTGTGTATAAGCTAGTTTGTTTGAAATGCCAAAACAAAAAACATCATTGTTTTTAAACATTGTTTTTAATTAGTGTTAGTAATTTAATTAGAGCATAATTTTTTTTAAGACAAGCAAATAACAAAATTATTTTTTATACTGACAAAAAGGTCATTTTTATAGTGATTTTCGTTTATATATATGATGAAAGTTTTGTCGACGTTGATACATATTTGTAATATTTTTGCAGCCTAACCGTCGAATTAAAAAAAAGATTAAATAACAAAATTATTTATTCCATTAAACGTTTCGACACTTGATGTGTGTCATCATTCAGTAATCTAAAAAACATTTAACATAAATACACAGATGATGATAAATATGAATATATAAAAGGAGGAAATTATACATACCAAACCAGGAAAAACAGGAAACATTAATTATGATGTAAAATTGATTGTGCACTAAATTTGTGTAAAATAATAAAATACTATTAATTAACAAACGAAAAATAGAAGGAGCACATATTGCCCTTCTATATTTAATGTTATTGGTAGCCTAGCGTTGTGTGCACTGTTCAAGGTTAAAAGTACAGCGCAGTGTAGGCAACGCACGTGTATGAGAGTGGGAGAAAGTTGCGAGAACGAAAGGGTAAAGAAAAACAGAGAAGAAATATAACGAATGAAAGATTCTAAAACTGTATTGAATTACTTTTCATGAAATTAATGATATCATAATTTTGTTATTTAATCTTTTTTTTAATTCGACGGTTGGGCTGCAAAAATATTACAAATATATATCTGTTCAAAAAGTTTTCGTAATTTTCGTTTTTTCAAAAAAATATTTATTTATTCGTCTACATTAATGTGGTCCCCTTCAAAGTAGTCCCCCCCAGATATAATACACTTATGCCAGCGTTTTTTCCAATTTTCGAAGCACCCTTGATATTCACTTTTTGATATGTCCTTGAGCACTCTCAGCGATTTTCTTCAATCGAGGAAAACCGCCGTCCTTTCATGGGTCTCTTCAACTTTGGGAATAGGAAAAAGTCACACGGAGCCATATCTGGTGAATTTTTGCACTTTGCAACACTTTATTTCATTTTTTACGCAAAATTTAATACAAATTCTTTGACTTTTCAATTCTTCCATTGTAAAAATCGCCGAGCTCAGAAAAACACGTCGAACCTTAGCGACTACCACAGACAAAGTAAACAGTGAATATAGCTGAAAATTTCATCATACTTTAGGGGCATGTATACCAACACAATAAAAAAAAAATTTTGACAATCAGACACTCCAGACCCGCGAAATTTAATTATTAGTAATTCCGGGTACTTTTTGAACAGACCATGTATATATATATATATATATATATATATATATATATATATATATATATATATATATATATATCAAGGACATTGAGACCAAATATTAAGAAATCCGAAAGACCTATTCATATCAATTCATCTAAAATAATCCTTTATAAACGAAAAGAAAAATTTAGAAACAAATAAAATTAATAAACAAAATTAAGTTAAAAATAACGTCCTCTTATACAATATAATTTGATGATCATTTTTTATGACCAGGTCATTTAGTCTCATATCACATTGATAAATAGATTACTACTTAATTTTATTACATTGTTACTTAACATTTAACCATTTATTATATATTATTCAATTTTATATGCTAATTCGTTTCGATGTTCTACATCATATTGGCTTTTGCATACTTTTTTTAATTTTATATACTTTTTATGTTCTACTCTATTAAATGTTACATAAACTGAATTATAACATTAATTACTATTATACTATTTTATACTTCTAATTTTTTAAACTTCCGGTGCACGTAAAAGCTTCAAATAAAAACCAGGTGAATTGTCAGGTGGAAAAGAATAACGACAAGAAAACTGCATTTACATATTCCTAAAGGTTGTCGAATAGATCGAAAAAAACTGAAAACATAGCATATCATCACGCTTTTTATTCCGGTTTTTGTCGGAAAATTTGAGATGCTGTTATTTACAGAGTAAATACTTTATACTTCTTTGCTTGTTACAATTCTTACTTCATAATAAACTTTAAGCGATAGCCGTTCGTTTGATATTACTTCTGTAGTAATTAAACGTGTTAAAAGTAAATCAATCGGATATACGGATACTAATGAACGTTCGTTTCAAAGGTCATCGCACGGTCATAAAAGACGTTTTGAGTAGGTATTCTAGTATTTTTGTGTCAGAATGCTATGCCAGTTATTTCGCAACCGATCTGTTTTCATGATACAAGACCTTGATAAAGCTCAGTGACAAATTCTAACTCAATCAAAGTAGTTTCACATAACGATAAGTGAAATTGATAAGGTCTGCGGCTCTATCGATATCGACATCGACAGCACACAAAAACAAGAATAGAAACTGACTTAGCACTCAAACAATACTTATTATAGAATTATCTATAACTGTAAAAAGAAATATAACCAATTAAACTTGGATTATTGAATTTTCAGTCGTTATAAAACTTGACGGCGAAAGTAGAAAAGTACATGATGTTTCTATTAGTTTACATGGCTCTATTAGTTTTGCGAATTATATATATATATCTAAATAATACATGAGGAATCAAATTTTAGTGATATGCTTCTCGTAATATTTCGATGCAATCAGAAAATAAAAATAATTAAAAAATGTAAAAAATGGTATATTCGTATCTAACTATCTGATGGTATTATACTCTTATATAAAATATTTTTTTAGATGAATTATGTAAGTGAATTCGACTTAATCTCATCAGGAAAAGGCAACTATTGTATTTTTTCTAAAACTTTAAATAATGTTTTTACATGTAGTATAGTTATTTTAAAAATGCATATATTGATTTAAGTGATTTAAAGAATATATTTTATGAAACGTTCTACCTCTTCCAATCATCGCCTATGTTTAATTGTGAGATATGTATGATTTTCAAAGATATGTACATACAAATAATTTTTTTCAGGTGCAATTTAATTAAGAATGATTAAGAATGAGATCAGAAACGATTAGTCTAAACTGGTCCAAATTGATGTTATTATTGAATAATTGGTTATGTATTTCGAAAATTGGCATCTCCGAAACACATTTAAATTAACTGTAATTATATTAATTATAGTGCACAGACACTATTATTGTCATTTATTATTATTATTTCAAATTTTAATTAATTTAAATAATTCAACCAATGCATGAACTTTATCGTGAATTTGTGAACTTCAAATTTTGACTTATCATATCACTAAAGCAACCTTTGACACAAATCTTGACTATCGTATTTTTTCAAACAATGATGAATTTTTAATATCAAACGACTTGACTTAAAATCAAATTATAACCGATACCGTGATTTTTAGTAGGTATGTGCTATGGAACCATGATATCTATCAACATAAAAACTTTCATCGAATATTGTATTACAACTGTTAATTACAAGAAAACTGCCCGTTCGATCTTTATCAAAAACTAATCAGTATCATTCTGAACCAAAATCTTTTGAATTTGTATAATCTATGCAAGATTTTTATGCTAAAACGTAGATAAAAAAACTTTTAAACGTGGCTTGGCTGCTCGTCGTGCGAAACTGACAAACGCTACTCCTTACCGCGTTAACGTAGACAAAAACGTCGAATGGCTCTAAATTTTTGGAAATCGGTCAAGACGTTTTTGAGAAAACTTCGACGAAAGATCAAAAATCGGCCCCCACACATACTGATTTCTAAATTTAATTTCATTTGATTCAGAATGGCTTGAAACGTCGAGAAAACATAAAATCAGCAAATCGTTTTTTTCTTTTGGCGATAACAAACTTCTTCTTCGAGAAGTTAATCATGTGATGAATCACGACCCCTCGCCCTCCCAATTTTTTTTTTTCATGTAAAAAATGTTTTAAAATGTCAAATGTTAAAAATGCATAAAAAATTAATAAAAAAAATAAGTGCAAGTAGAAATGTTTATTACCTTCTCTGGGGCGGTATCCGTTATTGTGGCATGAAGAACGCAGTAGCAACCCGCTCCATACCGGCGCTGATGACTTTGTCGCCCGCTACCGCTGCAAGCGCAGTGCTGCAATTTGTCTGTGGTCTTCGCGGACGAGCGGATCGACCAGACATCACGATGTTCGACTACAAGACTGGCAATCGAGAAATTACCGCCTTCGATCTCGAAAGACACCATGCGTGAATTCGTGCACCTGGAATTTAATTAAGAATATATTAAACGAGCAGCTCTCGTGTCAGTTAAATTGCATTTCTGTAATAGTTACTGGAACTATATTATTCCATAAAATGTCATATGCAAGTTATGACTTATGGACGAACAATATTTCACAGCAGTACATCATATTATATACATTGTTTTGCATAACCATTAGGGGTTACAATACCGGGATTCGGTGATCCCGAATACCGGGATCCCGAACAATTATTGTCCAGTATTCAATACGCGGCAGTGTCGGCACATAACGTGTTTGTTTATATTGTATGTCATGATACCTAATGAAAAAGTCCATCTATGAAAATTATTATGCGTCCACGAGCATCGTCGTCAAATCAAATTCGTTATCAATGATTTTTAAACATAATATACAATCGACGCGTTATAATTCTTTATATTGTATATCTTTCTATAAATTATTTATATTTATTTATTATTTTAATATAACGAACATTCTCTAAGTCAAATCACTTGGGTGATAAATAGTTTGATAATCAATGATAAGATTGGTCTCGGTGGTGGATGACCTCTTCTTATGCGTACGTTGCAGATTTCTGGAAATCTGTTCATATCTGAATATGATTTGATTATAAACTAAAAATATACTATGTCAAGTTCCAATTCACATAGAGTAATAATGTTTCTTAATGACCATTTAGCCGACAAGTGAAGAATGACAAAGCGCTTTTTCAGCAGCTTGTTATATTTGTATTAAAATTCGGTCCTCGCTTAAAGATGAAACAATTTATTGCTTATATTTTTAAGAGCATATTTCCATAAACAAAATAAAAAATATTATTTGAATTGTTTGTTTCCTTAAATATATATTTCCACACACTCTATTATATGTAAAATGTAACATAGAAGTTATATATATTTTTTACTTGCTCGTTTTTTTGTATCTATCTATTCTATTTTGTATCTTACTATTCCCCATGTAATACAATAAATAATATGTATTGATTTCGGTGAATAAAAATATAACTGGTAAATTTTTGATTGACAATACCGGTATTAATACCGGAATCCCGGTATTACACAGTTCAAGTATCAAATACCAGAATTCAGATTTTAGTACGGTTTTGGAATACCTTAAGAGCTATATTAGCTAAATGTAATAGGTTCGTAAAATAATAAGCCAAAGAAGCCAAACGTCAATAAAAGGTTATTAAAAATCATTGTATTAATTACAACGTTACTTTTAATATTTTTAATATAAAATTAACATTAAAATATCCATATCGTTCGTGGGCTAGCACAAACTAGTCCCGGGGTCGCTGGTTCTATCACAGCCATGGTCAAGCCCTACATCAGACAGCTTTGATGTCAAATTTCCACTTGAGGTTATAAATCTGAATTATTGTCTCAAATGAAAATCACGAGTATAACTGCATGTAAAATAAAATGTCAACCAACATTTCGAGTATAGTCAATTTGGTCACACCTGAATTGGACGACTACTAAGTTGCCATTTATTAAAAAAAGCCATATAATAACGTCCAAACAATTACAGAACGTCCTAATATGATGGATTGTATTTAATAGTATAACAAAAAAAATGATATTGTATTGAATAAAATAATATGATTATTTTATTACGATTTTGTATGCAATAAAACGAAAGATTTAATAAAAATAAATATTCAAGCCAATAGCGGTGATACATAAGTTTTCTCCAAATTAAATAAAAATCAATCTACCAATTCTATCTGAATATTTAATAAACTTAATTTACAAATTGGTGCCTAAGTGCACTCCCGCATTGAAGCAGACCAAAACAAAACTAGCTGTGTGATTTAAAAATAGAATATGTTTAGTAAGATGCCTGCATTTCATCTGGCTATTTTTAGCGTAACATATACACAATGTTGTACAAAAAATATACATAAAGTGTTCTACTATATACTTGAACTTTAGAGTGCTACATATAATTAAAACCAGAATTACTGTAGAATAATTAGCAATGTACGATTGTAAAGTCTTTTGAATAGCAAGCAATTATAGATTGTGCTCTCTGGTAATTAATATTTAAAATTAGAGACATAGTTGAAATACTTATTATTATATGCACGCACTCAAAATTATAGTATGAAAGTTCCAAACACTTTTCATTGTTAGTCTCCGAATTAAAATTATTTAAATAGTGTTTAAGTGCTCTTTCGTTGCAAGAACATTTTCTAACCAATAACCTAATATCAGGTTCGTATAGAGTTGAAAATCCACAGACTTGTTAATAACGAAAAAGTAATTGATAGGATGATCACAATGACAAGTACTCGATAGCTACATGCAAATATATCTTTAATGTAAATGAAGGTGGCGAAATCGCAAATATGCAGATCTACAAAGCTCAAAGACATACATAATTGAATAGAATAAAAAAAATCCAAGCAGGAAATAATCGATGTGACGAACACAATATTATTTTTATTAAATATTATATATGCTTAAAATTTATTGGTCGACAACATAAAAATAAAAAAGCATAAATTGTGCTTTGAATGCGGTAATGACTAATTTGTAAGCAACGATATATCAAAATTTCAGAATATTAACTAAAGCTGGTCCAATTCAAGGATAACATTACCTATCGGTATTCGTTATGTAAACTACCTGTCCTGCATCATCGACAAATTAATTTTATAGCTAGTTTAACCTCGGCGTATAAATTATATATATATATATATATATATATATATACATATATAATAAATCTATGATATCACAAAGTTTTCAAATATTTTTTCGTACACCGAAATTTATTAACTTAAGGCTTATAGCATCTGCAATATTATGTACACGAATATATACGAATCAATTCCATTTAATATAGTCGAACACTTTACTGTTGCGGTTTTATAAATTATAAACAATCTTTAGAAATTAGTTATCAAAATGAGTCATTTATTCCGAGAAGTACTGCGTAAGTGCAATTTACGCGTTACTAATGAACACTTATACATCTGATAGGTTGCGGCGTTTCAGGCAAAATATCACAAAGTAACAACAACACAAATAACTATTGAAAATTTAATTATTTGTCAGTTATTTTATTTTCTTTTATTGTTAAATAAAAATTTAAAAACAAACACAGTTAATAGATTTTTACTAAAATATCATTTGCTGTAAAATTATAAATCTAGAATTTATTACTTTTGTAGATATAATAAGAAGCAATATAATAAAAAAGCATTATTCTTAATTAATTATTCTTTTGCCAAAATATCATTTGCTGTAAAATTATAAATCTAGAGTTTATTACTTTTGTAGATATAATAAGAAGCAATATAATAAGAAAGCATTATTGTTTTGCCGATTTTAAGTACGCTATTATTTAGCAACAAGTTTCGTACAACGTTAGGTTACCTGTATAAAATTTTGTTTATTTTTTTCATAACTCAGTAAAAATTGGCATTTGTACCAGGCAAGTAAAAGTTCGTGTTCATAAATTTTGCTAATTTTCCAAAAATTTAAAACAAAAATTCGAAATTTTTTATGTGAGAAGCTATTTTGACCGGCAATTTTCTCATTCACAAAAATTAGCATTTGTGCCAGTCAAGTAAAATTTCGTTTTCATAAATTTTGCTAATTTTCGTAAAATTAAAACCAAAGTTAGAAACTTTCAATGTGAGAAGCTATTTTGACCGAAAATTTTCTCATTCAGATATTTGAAGGTTGTTGTAGCTTTATTGTCAAGTATACTTGCAAAGATTCAATTTAAACCGAAATTTTGAGAAAAAGACAGGAACAAAAGTTCTTAATCGGGGACAAATAATGATTTTAGAAAAACCTGGGACGCAAGGTGGAATTTCAGGACTGTCCTGGCCAAACCGGCGCGTATGGTCACCTTAGTACAAAGTGCATTTACATATCATTACCTATATTTATAGGAACATGAACAAAAATCGAGTGCAGAAAAAATAATAAAAACATCGGCTACAATTAAAATTAATCTGTATAAATTCAGCGGCAGCATTGATACTTTGTTCATTGGCGCGTATTCGATAACCTAGAGAAGATGGCAATCTATTCCCACAGTCAATGGGCAAGGCCGGAGTAGCGCGGTCCACGGCCGGTCGCGCCGATCGATGTATCCAGCGCTCTATCTGTATAAGCGCTATATAACACGTCGTGGTTCCAACGCGGCCGCAACGTTTAGCGGCGAGTTAATTTCATGTCGGCGCGTCTAGTGTCTGGCTATAGGTGGCGCGCATGGGCGCACGATTGCCGTGGCCTAGGTCCGGGTGCCGGCTTACAAAAACATTGCTACTAAACGACACCGACGTACCGTAGGCTCTGAGCATTACGTCAGTCAAAGCTTCTAGATACTTCTACATCACATTATATATGGATATAAAATTATTTAACACAATCTTTGCAAATATATTACATATATGTTGCTAGACAAAAAATGAATTAACAACTATTATATTGTACATGTATAATGCAGTAAAATTTCAAGTAAGAAAACATGGCAGGTCCAAATACACCACATTTTCCACCATAGAAATATTTTGGCTGATATGATAGAAAATTCATTTATAATTTATAGTTAGTAACGATTTACCCACATTAATACATCAATCATTCGAACGCTGAAATACAAATCATCAACAAAATGGTTCAAACAAGAAGACTCAAGAAGAAATGGCCAAAGAACCTGCAATATTAAATTATATACAGACAGCTATAAAATAATTCTAGCAGAGGATCTCTTCAATGAGACCTCTAAACGCCAAATATAATTTATCACATAGGCATATAGAAACATTGTCTTCTGATGGTCTATTAAAAAATAAATAAATAAATATCAAATATTATTACATCAAGGATTATTTTAACGTTTGAAATATTAACTGTAGTGATTATTAATAGTGACTGTACAGTTGTACATGTTGAGTCCGCGCTTTCTGCTTTTTGTATATTTACAAAATATTATTACAAAATATATTATAACCATGGATCCAAAGAAAACAG